CATTCTGCCGGCCCCCAGAAGAGGGATAACGTCAACGGGTCAGGCATTCGGGAACCTCTTGGGATCATCGGGGGGCCTCTTTTGGGCCTCTTGGGGGCCTCTTCGGGCCTCTTGGGAGTTTCTTGGGCGCCTGCTGGCGGTCTCGGGGGTCCTCTTGGGGAGGGGGCTCGGAATGTAAGTTCGAGTTACCTCTCTTGGGCCCCTCTTGGAGCCCTGTTGGAGCTCTCTTGGGCCATTTGGGCGCCTCTTTTGCCGTCTTGGGACCCTCTTCGGTCGCCTTGGGGCCATCTTGGGGGCATCTTGGGCCGTCTTGGAGCAGTCATGAAGGCCTCTTGAGCCGTCTTGGACGCTGTTGAGACCAAAAATGCGAATATGTTCAAGTTATACGTTTTGCCGAGGGATTCTGACGATTCTTGCTTCTTGGGCTCTCTCGGGGGTTGCCTTGGAGTCCTCTTGGGGCGTCTTTGAGGCCATCTTGGTCGTCTTCGGGGGATTCGTGTGCGTGTTGGAACCCTGCTTGAGCAAGCGTAGATCGATTCTTAGGCGTCTTGGAGGCCACAGAGTGTGGACATGGAGGCTCCAGAGGCCCAGCGGGGAGCGTTGATGAGCTCGGACCCCCCCTTGCCTCCCGCCGAGCCGTCCCCCCCCCCCCAGGCTCCCCTCCCCAGCCCCTCTCCTCTGATCGGATCTCAGGACCCGGGGGAGGGGGAAAGGGGGAGGGGCACAGCCAGCCATCCCACGCGCCTGTGCACCCCCGGCCCCGGCGGGGGCCGGCGGACTCGTGCCCCCCCCCTCGGGGGCCCCTGGCAGCGTGCGCTGGGCGTCCGGTCGGCGACGGGGACGCGCCGATCCCGAGCGTCGCGGCGCGCCGACTTGGCGTCGATGCGCCGACAGGCGAGCAATAGGGGAACAAAAAGGGAGGGGGGGGTCCAGCGCCAGTCCGAGAAATCCAGGCGGACCTCCGAGTTTTTATGTTTCTGTCACTTTTGTTCCCCTGAGCAAGACGGCGCGGGAGGCTCCCGCGAGCTGCCGCCGAAGGCGGCGCGGGGGACGCCGCCCGTGGCGCCGCCCGTGGCGGCGCGGGGGCCCCGCTGGCCGCGGCCGCTGGCCCGCCCGCGGCAGGAGCCCGGCATTGCGCTGAAGCTCTCAGGGCCGCCTGGGGGTCCCGGGGTGGCCCTGCACGGGTCCCGGCCAGCAGGATGGGCGTGCAGGTGTGAGATTTGGGGTTCGGGATCGTTTTTTTTTTTTTTTTTTTTTTGCTTCTTTTCGGCCTGCAGGCGCCATTTTCGGGCCCAGAAGCGGATCCGGGGCGAAACCCTGCACTGGATGGACCCCTGGAGGGGTCCGGGTATCGATTTTGAGCGGAGTTGGCCACACGTCTCTCCTCGTCACCGATTTTTCCGAGGTCCTAACCAGTTCAGACCTCCTGGCCGCCTCCAAGTTGAACCGATCGCCATCCCCACTGTCGTGAATTGTGAGAACGCCCATCCAGACAAGTCGACTGAGGAACTCTGCGCTGGTTCACTCGACATGGACACTCGAGTGTGCTGGTGCAGTCTCTGGTCGGTTTTCGTTCATCGACGGGCGCTTCGCCAGATACGTTCGCTTGTTTTGTGATGTCTATGAGCTACCCCGCTGGGGTCCACTCGGAATGCGGTGTCATGCGCATGTGGAGTGCCGCTGGCAGCTTTCACTAGAGGACATGTCGCTAAAGGGTCTCCTGCCAAGCTTCGACATTGGGCCATGGTTCGGTACGATCGAAATGGGTATGGAAGACAGTGCGAAGGCTGACAGCAGTTCCCGTCCGTTTTGAGCAGGGTTCGCTATCCGTGCCGCGGCGGGCGTTATCCTTTCGAGGCAGGAGGCCGCCTGCCCAACAGCGGCCCCTGTCGGTTTTGGAAAGCGTGTGCTGTCGGGCATCGCATCCATTTTTTCCATACCCATTTCGGGCGTCCAAACGTGTAGACATATCAAGCACACCAGCCCAGCCCCCCAGGTGGGGATTGGCTCCGCGAAGCCCGAGTGGACCAGCTTGCATCCCCACCTGGGGGGCAATTCGGTCCGTGGGGCCGAGGCCACGCCAGTGGCGCTGGGGATCGGCTAATCGATGCTCAAAAGCACGTGCACGGACGCTCGCCTGCCCCCCACCTCCTCGCGACGTGAAGAGGTCACGAAGGGAGGGTTTCTGCCATCTTCGGCCTTTGGGGGCCCTAGTTCCACACTGTTTTTTGTTAGGGGCGTCTCCCGAGGCGTCGTCGATCCTCGACCCAGGAACACTACAGTGAATAGTTTTGTGACCCTCGGAGCCGAACAACTGAGCGCTGTACCGCGTTGGAGCGGGGCCTGATGGGGGTCCAGGCGTAGTGCGGTGCATGGAGAGGCACAGGCAAAACTTTCGTCCGCGGGTGCTCTGACAGCCGACGTCACGAAAATTGGCATTATCGTAGAAACGCATCGACCAGAGCCCTGGACCACATGTTTCTGCTTCATTTTTCGAGCTGGATCGATCCATGAGGTCCCAGGAGCCCGAAACCGGGCGAAAACTCCCTGTGTGGAAGAAAACCATGCCCAGACCTCAGGTATCATCATCGATGGAGGCGCCTGTCTGTGCACAGATTTTTGTAGCGCAGCCCAGGGTCGGCGGCGAGCGAGGGGGGGAATGTGAAGGAGAAGGCCTTCTCAGAAGGCGGCGGGGCTTCTCAGAGGCCCTGGCGCCTTCTGTGAACAGTTTTCGGTGCCTTCGGGGAAGGCTTTGGAAACTTCAGGAGGGCCCAGGCCTTCCGAACCTTCCGAGACGGCCCGCCCCGTCCAGACCCCCGTCGTGCTTTTTTTTTGCAGCGTCGACCCCCAGAGGTCTGGACCCTTTCCCCCGGGCCGGCTTTTCACCCCGGGTCGTTTTTCTCGACCGTCCCGGGGCCCCAGTGCGAGCCCACGGAGGCCGCATTTGGCGAGAGGCTTCGCGTCGTGATTTTTCCACAGCGCGAGGGGGTCTGGGCTCGCCCCTCCTCCTCCCTTCTCCTCCTCCTCCTCCTCCTCCTCCTTCTCCTCTTCCTCTTCCTCCTCCTCCCTCCTCCTCTTCTTCCTCCTCCCTCCCTCCCTCCCTCCCTCCCGCCCCTCCTCCTCCTCCTCCTCTTCCCCCTCCTCCTCCCTGCTCCTCCTCCTCTCCTCCTCCTCCTCCCTCCTCCCTCCTCCTCCCTCCCTCCCTCCCCCTCCCTCCCGCCCTCCTCCTCCTCCTCCTCCTCTCCTCCTCCTCCTCCTCCTCCTCCTCCTCCTCCTCCTCCCCCATGGACTAGCGGCCGCAGTTCGAATACACGGGCGGCTTGACAGCATATGCGAACCCGTGGGCAAGGATGTCTTATGCTGACCTGGAGGCGCTTGAGTCTCTCGAGGAAGGTGAAACACTACTTACTCGTCTCCAGGGGTCCTTCCTCGCTCTCTTCTGGGACAAAACGTTGGGGAGAGATTTCTGCATGATCGATTTCATCCAGCTACGACGTAAACGACATACAGTGGCTATTCCACCCCCTGAGTACGAGTCTCCCTTGGATCAGGTTCTCGAGCAGGAGGTGGTGGAGGGTGGAGTGGTTAAATGGGTATGCGGAGTTTACAAGGAGGAGGAGGAGGAGGAGGAGGAGGAGGGCGAGGACGGTACGACGACGGGGAGGAGATGTCGATGTGACGCGAAATTCAGTGATAAGAAGTCGGCTCTCAATCATCTTCGATTTCACCATCATCTTCGTTCTTTGGGCCATGTATTGTGTACTACGAATCAGTGTCCCAGATGTTTGGAGTTGTTTTCAAGCCGTGTGACAGCGGCTCGACACTTGGTGGGGTCTATGGTGCGCGGGTGCTGCGATGCAGGTGGGGGTCACTCACAGGAGCCACCACAGGAGCCCGTAGATCTCTTATGCAAGATATGCGGCTACCACTCGTCTGAACTTCCCGATTACCAACAACATGTCTGTAGTCATTTACCTCAAGAGTTGAGGGTGTACGACCGAAAGCAGCATATTTTCTTGACGAGCAGCTATTTGCAACTGATACCAGAGGCACATATTCATCCCGACTTCATGGAGAAGCGCAAAGGAGGAGCCCCACCAGCGCAAACGGAGGCGAGGCGCGGAGGCGGCGACCACGGAGTCGGCTCGGGACCACCAGCAGGCGGTGGCGGCACGGGCGGCCTCCTCAATGAGCAGAAGCTCGAGGAGCTCGTGGTGGCGTTGGCCAAGCTGGTGCTGACAGACGAGGCGCAGTTGCGGGCGATGCTGGGGAGGTGTGCGACGCGTACCTCACGCCGCTCGACGCCGCCGCGTCCCAGCGTGCGCTCGAGGAGGGGGCCAACTTCAACACAGAGGCCGGCGAGAGGCGCCAGAAGACCGCCGACGCGGCGAAGAAGTGCGAGACGCTCGGGCTGCCCAAGATGTGGCCGCTCGTTTCCTGAGGACGTTCGTGGCGCTGATCGACGGGCTCTTGGACAAGGACGAGGCGTACGAGTCGGACGGCTCTTTGAGGGCGAGTCGCCAGGTGCTGAAGACCTACTGGGAGCAGAAGGTACTGACGATCAAGTCGCCGAGCGACCTCCACGAGATGGTGCGCTACTTCCGTGTGCAGAGGCTCAAAACCAAAAGAGCGCGCAGCAGGGCGAGCAGGTGAATATCCAGTTCCTCATCGGCACGACGACGAACGACGGGGTGATCCTTCTCAAAACAATCCGCGAGGCGCTCGTGGAGCAGGGGGCGGCGAAAACGATAGGCGGGGCTCCCAGAGGTGTCTTGGTGAGGGAGGCGTAGAGGCTTCTCGATCAGGTGAAGTAGATACCGCTCCAGCTGCTGAAACTGCCCGCCCGCCCGCCCGCCCGCCCGCCCGCCCGCCTCCTCCTCCTCCTCCTCCTCCTCTTCCACCCCTTCCCTCCCTCCCTCCCTCCCCTCCCTCCCTCCCCCTCTCCTCTTCCTCCTCCTCCTCCTTCTTTCCTCCTCCCTCTTCCTCCTCCTCCTCCTCCTCCTCCTCTCCCCTCCTCCTCCTCCTCTCCCCCCCCCCGCCCCCAACAGGGGCAGGCAGTCCCCCGCTCCGGGGGCTGCCTGGGCGGAGGAGGCGCCATGCGGGGGCCGGCGGCCGGCCTGCCCGAGGCGCGGACGCCGCCCCGGCAGCGCCCCAGGGAGGCGTCGCGCTGCGGCTCCATCCTGGCGGCGCGCGCCGAGGGTCGCGGTCACCCCAGCATATTACGTGTGTTCTTGAACCCTCCCCCTCCCCTCCGCCCTCCCCTCCCCTCGCCCCCCCTGCCTTCCCCTCGCCCCCCCTCCCCCCCCCTCCCCATGACGTAACGCCTCCTCCCTTCAGTGCGTCCCCGGCGCTGCCGCAGTGCGTGCGGCAGCACAGTCTGGGGGGTGGGGGGCGCCACGCTTCGCCCCTTCCCGTCCCCTTCCCCTTCCCCCCCATCACGCCCGTTGTGGCCGCGAATTACAAGATGCGGTCTTATACTACGTGAGGCTTTTCAAAAAGGGTCTTGCCTTCGCGGATCGAAGGAGTGGCCATCTCTTCCTCGGTGGATGGCGGCGGAGGGTCGGCGGAAGGTGGCGGGAGTAAAACGGGGGCGGCATCGCTGGCGGCAGCCAGCGGAAGGCCAGCGAAAACCGGCGGAAACAAAAGTCGACCTCCCAAGAGAAGACAACATTTTTGGGTTCAGGGTTCCCAGAACTCGCCATGTGTGCGTCGCACCTCCGGGGGCGACGCGCGCGCCGAAAGATCTTTTGGTATATGCGTCGTGGCGGGTGCTTTTTGGCCGTGCCGCACTGGAAACGAAATATTATCATATTTGTGTATTATATGTTCGGGTCGGATGCACGCCTCCGAGGAGGATACATCGAACTCGTTTGTCCTTGTGCGTCCCAGAGGCGGCGCTGCGAACAGGGGCGGTGGCCTCCTCTCGGAAGAAGAAAAGGTACCCTACCGCCACCCTTCCCTCGTCTTTGCCCTTTTGGGCCTCCTGGGAAACCCACCATTGCCACCGCTGGGTTCGCCTCGAAATCCTGGTCATAATGCACCCTGGGGGAGGGCCTGAGAATGGCGGTATCGGTACCATTTTGCTTCCCCAGGGGTGGGCTCGTTCGAATCACGAACGGACAGCTCCGGTCAGGAACTTTTGCTTAGCGGAGCGGGAGGCTTGTAAAAACAAGAGACGCTGACGCTTGGGGATTGGGACGTGGGTGGATAGCGTGTCCCGCCGAAACGTGGTGAGCCAGAGCAGGCGGCGCGACACGCTCTCCAAAAGTTCTCGACCGTAGCACTTTTGTTGTCTTATGCGACCTCGAGATTTCTCGGAGTGTGGAGTTCTGGGGGGGAGGCGCTGCATGGGCGTGTGTTGTCGGATGGGGCTCCCCGCTCGAAATGGCCATTCCCCCCCTGGGGTCCGACAGCCCGCGCACGTGCTTGTGCCGCGCCATCAGGGTACGAGGCGAGGCCTCCGCATGGTCCACAAAAGGGCCCCGAGAGGAGCCCCAGAGAGGCCCACGACGGTCGACGGGGGTCCCCAGCCCTCGAGCCTGCCAAGGCGGCCTCTGGTGGCTTCCAGCGGGTCAGCGCCGCCGATGGGCATGGGGGTGTGCTGTCCGCTCCTCAGAAGGCGGGGGCCTTCTCAGGAGGGTCTCCCGCAGACGCCGCTCGACGCCCAGACGGGGTCGCGGCACACATGGGGGGCTGGCCTTCTGAGCGGGCGGGGTGCCCCTCGTCCCCATCCTGTCCTGGCGAAGCATCTCCCCCTGTGGAGTCGGGGGGGGGGTGAAAACTGAACTCCTCCGCATTTCTCTTTGGACGGCTGCCTTCCGATGGGCCGCTTCCTGCCACGAAGACAGCTTCTTGTGGGGACCCGTGAAGAGGGAGCCAGGAGGGAGGGTTCAGCGCACCACCGCTGATGCGTCTTGGGCTTGCACTGGTCCTCCTCGACCTCCCCCTCCTCGGCATCCTCCTCCCGCGGCGCTGCTCGGCCTTCCGTGCGCCCTCTCGCCCCGGGCGGTGAGGAATCCCAGGGGCTCGGACAGTGTTTTGCTTCTCTGGCCGGGGCCGGGGGCCGCGGTCCGCAGGTCACGAGGGAAGATGCAGTGGTCAGCCCCCCCCCCTTGCAACGGGGGAGGGTGCACGGGGAGCAGGAAGGAAGTTTTGGAAGGCCAGTCCGGCTCTCAAGAGGCCCTCCTGGCAGCTTTCGGGCCATTCTAAGACCCCTGCCTTCCGAGAAGCCCCAACCCCCCTTTTCAGAAGGCCCCCCCCTTCCTGCCCCCCCCCCGCCCTCCCCCTTGTCCAGAGCTGACCAGCTCATGCGACCCCCAGATTTCCCAGGGTGGAATCCCGGGGGGGGGGCTATGTGTGTGTGTGTGTGTTTCCGCCAGCGCAGTCACTCTGCCTAGCCGCCGACGCGAAAAGAGTGTGTGTGTATGTGTGTCTGTGAGTGTGTGTGTGTGTGTGTTTGTGTGTGTGTGTGTGTGTTTGTGTGTGTGTGTGTGTTTGTGTGTGTGTGTCTGTGTGTGTGTGTGTGTGTGTGTGTGTGTGTGTGTGTGTGTGTGTGTGTGTGTCTGTGTCTGTCTGTGTGTGTGTGTGTGTGTGTGTCTGTGTGTGTGTGTGTGCTGGGTGCCGTCGTCGAGCGTCTCCAGATCGAGGCTGGCTCTTACTTCGGCGAAGGTTGGAAGCGCGCGTGCGACAAGCGTAACAACAAGGGCATTGGCAATAGGCGATACAACCCGCTTGCCAGCGAGGACTGTTGCCGAAAGTTCATGGCCGATTTGTGGTATTGGAACTTCGACATCAAGAAATGCTGCTGGTGGGAAGGCATCCACCTGGACTGGGCCCAGGTCTGGCGCAACCAGCAGGCCGAGAACACGCGCAGGCAAGAGACGCGGGAGCGCGAGGCCGCCGAGCAAGGCAAAAGGCGCGATAAAGGCGGCAAGCCCGGCAAGCGCCGCTTTGACACTTCTTGGGACGACGCCCCCGGCGCCCGCCCTCGGCGCGCTAAACGCCTGCACCACCGCAGCCACCACCACCCGGCTGCACTTGGCACCTCCACGGGGCGTGCCGCCCGCGGGCACCGCGCCACTCCACACATGGCCCCCCTCCCTCCTCCCCCCTCGCCATGGCGTCGTGCCTCCCATTGGGACGCTACCCTTCCGCCGCGACAGGCCGCCCTCCATGAGGTGTGTGGCCCTGTGGGCTGGGCGCTTCTCCGCGCCTGGCCTGGCACCTTCTCGGTGCCCTCACCTCTCCTCCTTGCGACGTACCTCCCGTTTGGGACGCGCGTCGCTCACACACGGTCCCCTGCACCACTTAGGTGCTTCTCTGCTGCACCACGCTGGACCGCCCAATGGGCCGCCCGGCGTCGTTACCTGGCTGCTGCACCTTTCGGTGCTCTCCGCCGCCGCCCCCTCTCGACGTACTTCCCGTTTGGGACGCACGTCGCTCACTCATTGTCCCTTGCGCCATTTCGATGCTTCTATGCTGCACCACGCTGGGCCGCACATTGGGCTGCCTAGCGTCGTTACCCGGCTTCTGCACCTTTCGGTGCTCCCCGCCGCCGCCCCCTCGCGACGCACCTTCCGTTTGGGACGCACGTCGCTCACTCATTGTCCCCTGCGCCATTTCGGTGCTTCTCAGCTGCGCCACGACGGACCGCCCATTGGGCCGCCCTGCGTTGCTACCAGGCTTCTGCACCGTTCGGTTTTCCCCTCCTTCAGCGGTTGCCCCGCGCTGCCTCCTCCCGTTGCGGTGCTGTTCCGCCCCGCCGCCCGCGGGCGCCTGGGACGCTTCGCCCGCCGCCGCATGCCCCACCCCTCCTTGCCCTGGCCACCAGGCGCGTCCTTTGGCGGTCACGCCGCCATGCCGTTTCTTTGCTGTTCCGCCCCGCCGCCTGCGGGCGCCGGGGACGCTTTGCCCGCCGCCTTCTGCCCTTCCTCTCCCGGCCCCCTGGTCACCTGGCGCGCCCTTGGGCGGTCGCGCCGCAATGCCCCTGTCGCTGCCACCAATATGGCTGCGTTTCTCCTGCCTCCGCACGGCTCAGTGCTGTGCCCACTCCTCGGCGCGCCGCGGTACCTCTGCCGTTCGTGGTGTCCCACTGCGCCCGCCCGCCAGCTCCTGCTGCTTGCGAACGCCCTCCCGCCGCCCTGACCGCCGTGGTTTGCCACGGCCGCCCACCGCGCTCTGGCCCTGCGCGCCTGGCTGCGGCTGCCCCCCCCGGCTGCTCATCGTCGAACTCTTCGACGTCTGAGCGTCGGCCGTCCCCCCCGTCCTTCCTCGCCAGCCACTTCGCTAGTTAGTGCCATTTTCTAGCTTCTCGCTGGAGCGGAGTTCGCCGCCTCGCCGCTGACGAAAAAAAGTGTGTGTGTGTGTGTGTGTGTGTATGCGTGTGTCGGATGGGGACCCCGCTCGAGAGTGGGAGCTCCCCTCGGGGTCCCACGCCCCGCGCTCCTACTCATGACTCGCCCTCGCCTCGCGCGGCGCGGGCCAGCAATGCCCCCGCTGCCCCCTCCCCCCTCTAGCTCTGGGGCCGTGCTGCCCGTCCTCGCCGCCCCGGTGCGCGCCGCCAGCCGTCGACAGCGCGCCCCCGTGGCTGGGCGCGTGCTGCAGCCCCGCGGAGGACCTGGCGCGCCTCGAGGTGTCCTTCCTCGACGGCGGCGGCGCGGCGGAACCCAGGGGCCTCTGCCCCCGGCCGCGCCGGGCCGACCCGGAGCCCAGCAGCCCGGACGGCGAGGATGCGGCCTGGAGCGTGAGGAGCTCCAGCTCTCCCAGATGGGGTCCGAGTAGAGATGGGGTCGGAGGACTGCGCCGCATCCGCCGATGCATCGCCGGTGCGGCTGGATGTGCAGCCATATTTGCTTCACGTCGACGTCGCCGATGCATCGCCGACGTCCACGATGCATCGCTGGTGCATCGCCGATGTATCGCCGATGTATCGCCGATGCATCGCCGATGTATCGGCGATGCGGCGCGATCCCCCGACCCCATCTACGCCGACCCCATCTAGGAGGCCTCTAGGAACTCGTTCCGCCTGTGCGGCGCGGGGGAGGAGGACCCGTCGGAGAAAAAAAACACCGCGTTGGGCCCCTGGCGCGCGGAGCGCGCCAGGGATGGGGACCCAGCGCGGATCCAACAAATCCGCGCGGAGCACCAACAATTTATGTTTATGGCATTTTTTCCTCTTCTAACCAGGGGGGAACCGAGAGGAAACTCCATCCCGCTGCTCCTCCTCGCTCTCCCTCCTCGCTCCTCCTCCTCGCTCCGTGTCGCTGCGCCTGACACCGACGCTGCTGGCACTAGAATGCGAGCAGGATGCAGTAGGGAGGCCCCTCCCAGGGGTCGGAGTAACTAAGTCCTCCAGCCGCCCCGGGGGGGTTAATCCTCTCTCCTCCGCCTCTCTCCTCCTCCTCCTCCTCCTCCTCCTCCTCCTCCTCCTCCTCCTCTTCGAAGAAGGAGAACATAGTCATACATATGAACTTTTGGAGGTCCAGGCGGGTTTCTCGGAGCTGCGCTGGCCTCCCTTGGCGGCGCCGCCCCTGGCGCGCGCCAGGGTTGGGGGTCCAGCTCCGATCCGAGACATTGGCGCGGACCCCTTCCGAAAATTAGGTTTATGAATTCGTATCTGTGTTTCTGCTTATATGTATACAGTTTTTCACCAAACAGTGCTTGCACTTAGGGTTTCTTGGTTCTCTTCCAAGGAACTGGGCCGTTTGGCCGGTCTGGCGGCTCCGTGCTGGCCGTCGCCGCCTCTTCGCCGCCTGTCGCGTGGGTTGGTTGGCCGGTCCGGCGGTTCCGTGCCGGCCGTCGCCGCCCCGTCGCCGCTTCGTCGCCGCCCATGGCCGCCGTTGGAGTGCACCACATAGACTGCACGAACAACTTCGCGCCTGCGGCGAGCATTTTGGTCGCGCTCATAGTTTGCACCACATCGATTGCACAACATAGATCGCACCACATAGACTGCACCGCATATACTGTACATCATAGAGTGCGCAACATATATGGCACACCATGGGGTGTAGTACATACGTTGTACTACATCGACTGCATCACGTAGATTGCACAAGTTAGATGGTGCACCATCGATTGCACACAACATATCGCATACCATATATTGCACAACAGAGTTTGTACACAATCGATTGCGCAACATATATTACGCACCGTCGATTGCACACAACATATTGCACGCCATATGTAGCACCACTAATATCATACCACATATGTTGCACAACCTAGATTGCACCACATCTATTGTACAAGACTGCATTGGCGCTGCGCGCCATGCACCTTGGTCCTTTGAGTTCTGCACGCAAGCGGAATGCGTGCGTGCGTACATGCGCGCATGCACGTTTACACGCGCACGTGCATGCACGTTCCGTATACATGTCTAGGTGTATACAATATACTTTCATTGTTGTATGTGTGTATACAGCGTACATCTGTACATATAAATTGATGTGTGTAAGGGTATGAACATGCATATGCAACTCGTACGGGGCATCCTCGGGCATCTTCGCTGCATGCCACGAGACCCTCAACGACTGGGTCACAATGTGAAATGTCATGGGAGCAAAGTCAATGAATGTTGGCATTCGGAAACATCGTGGGGGTGTTTTCGGGGCCCTCGTGGGCCGCTTTGGCGCCTTCATGGGCCGTCCTGGGGCCTTCTTGGGCCGTCTTGGGGAGCTTGGGCCCGCTGGAGCCCCCTTTGGATCCATCTTGGGCACTTCCGGGGACCTCCCATGGCCCTTTTGGGTCTGTGCTGGGAGCCCTTGGGGGCCTCTTGGTTCCATTATGGGGTGTCTTGGGGCTCTCGTGGGCGATCGTGGGGCCCGGCTCGGCCGTCTTGAAGCTTTCTTGGGGGCCTTTTGGAGGGTCTTGAGGCGATCTCGGGGGCTTTGAAACCGTCTTGAAAGCTGATGAAATCCGAAAGGCGAATATGCTAAAGTTGCAAGTTTTACGAAGGGAATGGGACGATTTTTGTGCTTTGAAGGCCCCTTGGAAAGCTTTTTGGGGTGCCTTGGGGATCTTTATGTTGACATTCGGAAACATCGTGGGGGCGTTTTCGGGGCCCTCGTGGGCCGTTTTGGCGCCTTCATGGGCCGTCCTGGGGCCTTCTTGGGCCGTCTTGGGGAGCTTGGGCCCGCTGGAGCCTCTTTGGATCCATCTTGGGGCACTTCCGGGGACCTCCCATGGCCCTTTTGGGTCTGTGCTGGGAGCCCTTGGGGGGCCTCTTGGTTCCATTATGGGCTGTCTTGGGGCTCTCGTGGGCGATCGTGGGGCCCGGCTCGGCCGTCTTGAAGCTTTCTTGGGGGCCTTTTGGAGCGTCTTGAGGCGATCACGGGGGCTTTGAAACCGTCTTGAAAGCTGATGAAATCCGAAAGGCGAATATGCTAAAGTTGCAAGTTTTACGAAGGGAATGGGACGATTTTTGTAAGTTTTACGAAGGGAATGGGACGATTTTTGTGCTTTGAAGGCCCGTTGGGAAGCTTTTTGGGGTGCCTTGGGGGTCTTTTGGGCCATCCTGACGCAATTGGAGTCCCTCTTGGAGCGCTCTTGTGCTGTCTGGGGCCTCCCTTGAGCCTTTGTGATGACCCCTCGGATCGCTCTGGGTCTGCTGGCAAGGCGTTTGTGGAGACCCGGAAAGCCGGGTGACCTTTTCCAAGGACGTCCAAGGGAGCCCGAGAACCCCAGATCCCGGGGGTCCAGTTTTTTTTGGGGGGGTGAGGGTTTCCCCCCCCCCGCCCCGGGCTTGTAAAAAATATGAGGAGGAATACATATTGCACAACACAGATCGCACTACATCTCACCATCTAAATTGCTTCATACATATTGCTTTACACATTTCGCTGCACATATGTGGCACATCATAGATCGTACCAGACACAACCTAGATTGCACCACATATATAGCACAATAATGCGTGTACATCATATACTGCAAAACATATACTGCACCACATCTATTTTTGCATAGTTTCTTCACTGAGAGAGCGCAACATATATTGCATAACGTATGCCGCATCACATGTAGTGCGCCACATACATTGCACCACATGGAATACATCCCATATGTTGCTTCACATAGAACGCACCACATCGTTTAACCACATACATTGCACAGCATATATTGCACCGTACATATTGCACAACACATAGACCTCCTATATTGCGCGACATCTGTTCACAACATATATTGCACAACACATATTACACTACATATATTGTACCATATCGATTGTACACAGTAAACGCACACCATAGATTGCACCACGTAGTCGCACCACATATACACTGCACCATTACATTGCACACCACGGATTGCATAACCTAGATTGCATCACATATACTGCGCAACGATGAGTGTACAGCATATACTACAAAGAACACATAGTTTGCTCCACTTACATATATTGCACCACGTAGATTGCACAGCACATATTGCACCATACAGATTGCACAAAGCATATTGACCTCATATATTGCACGACATTTTTCCACAACATATTTTGCATACTATAAGCTCTATCACATATCTATTCAAATAAATTCGAATTGGCCTTGGCGGGTTTGCGTGGACCCCCGGATCCCCGGGCTCCCCGGGGACTCCAAAACGGCACCGGAAGGCCCCCGGAGGGGTCCGAAACGGCGTCGGAGTTCCCCAGAAAAACCCAAGACGGCTTACGGAGGCCCCGAGACGACCCAAGACGGCTTTCAGGCGGCCCAAGATGTTCTCCAGACGGCCCCATACGCCCCAAAGACGCCCCCGGACGGCTCCAGGGGGGTCCGAGGGCTCCCCCAGGAGGGCTCCATCAAGCAAAAATGGCCACATTCCCTTCGTAAAATGCACATTTTCAACAGATTCGACATTTTCCTTTACGAAGCGTCCAAGATAGCCCCAGAGGCCTCCAAGATTGCCCAAGACGGCCCCCAAGAGGGCCCAAAGATGGCTCAGACGGCCCCAGGACGGCCCAAGGGGCGCCCAAGACGGCCCAAGAGGACCCCAAGAGGTGCCCAAAAGGGGCCCAAGAGAGCCCAAGATGGCCCCAAGACGGCCCAAGTGGCGCCCAAGGTGGCCCAAGACGGCCCCAAGACGGCCCAAGAGGCGCCATACACGGCCCAAGAGGGCCCCGAGGAGCCCCCAAGAGGCCCAAAAGAGCCCCCATAGAGCTCCCAAACGGCCCCCTAGAGGCTTCAAAACTGCCTCCAAGAGAGAGGGGCGGACGAGAGGCGAGAGGCCCTTCGCAGGCGCAAAAGAACAATGTTTTACACTCCCGTGGCCCTGGCGCTGCCCGTCTGCGCTCCCTATTTTGCCGCGACGCCGTTCCGACGCTTCCGACGCGGCCCGAGACGGCGCCGCGTTTGACCCGACCCGCTCCCGCGTCCGCCGCGATCCCGACGCATATCTTCCAACGCTGCTCTGGCTTTGTCTCTTGAACTTTTGCCTCTTCCGAAGCTCGAACACTTCGGCCCCCGCTTCGGTGCATTGGCGGCGCTCAGTGGGGGAACAGCGCGAGAACAAGCTTCACAGGATCTACGGCAGTAGCTGGCAGCGTCGCACAACCCAGCACTCGCAACCAAACTTCGATCCGCGCAACTCCGTGGACTTATATATATATGTATATATATATATATTGTACCATATCGATTGTACATAATACCGGCACAACGCAGATTCTCCTTTATCAAAAGAGAATAGACTCTACCCCCCCGGACTTATCGGTTCCCCTTGGGATAGTATGATTTCATTTATATTCTGCACACTCGTCCATCCTAAATATGAAATCGCACCATCCCAGCTAGGCCGGGTTCCCCCCCCCGAGGTTCCCTGGTAAAAAACACAATGCGGTGACCTTTTTTTTGTTCTGACATAACACTTTTTCACGAATTCCTTGCAACAAATGGGACGAAGTGCGCACGCGCGCGTAGTCGCGCGCGCATGCCGAAATCCTTCAAAAACCTTCGGTGCGGGAAGGATTTCGCAATCGAGCTTCCAAAGAACATGCAAAAACACAGGGTTTCGCAACACTGATTTGCTAAAAAAGCTTCCGCGCGAGCTCTTGCGAAATCTTAAGGAAACCATGAGTTTTTCAAGATTTTCACAAAATGCTACCAAACGGGCTTCGCGCGCGCATGTCGAAATCTGTCGAACGCCCTTGCGCGTGTGCCGTCGCGAGAATCCTCTGCAACAAATGGGACGAAGTGCAGACGCGCGAGTCGTCGCGGGCGTATGCCGGAAACCTTCCAAACCCATCGGTTTCGGAAGGATATCAAAATCGTGCGTCCAAAAAACTTACACAAACCCAAGGTTTCGCAACACGGATTTTCAACAAAAGCGTGCGCGCGCTTTTGCGTTCGCGTCGTCGTCGTCGTCGTCGTCGTCGTCGTCGTCGCCGTCCTCTCTCCTCCCGCGTCGTCGTCGTCGTCGTCGTCGCCTACGTCGTCGTCTGTCTTTTCTCGTGTTCGTCGTCGTCGTCCTCTTTGGCGTCGTGGTCGTTTCCGTCGTCGTTGTCGCCGTGGTCGTCCTTCCTCCTCCTCCACGTCGTCGTCGTCGTCCGTCGTCGGCGTCTCGTCGTCGTCCCTCCTATTTCGTCGACGTCGTCGTCGTCGTTGTCGTCGTCGTCTTCCCTCCTCCCTCGTCGTTGTCGTCGTCGGCGTCGCCGTCCTTCCAATTTCGTCGTTGTTCGCGTCGTCGCCGTCCTCCCTCCTCCCTCGTCGTTGTCGTCGTTGTCGTCGTTGTCGCCGTCGTCGTCCTTCCTCCTCCCTCGTCGTCGCCTTCGTTGGCGCCGTCGTCGTCGTCTTCGTCGTCGTCGGCGTCGGCGTCGTTGTCGTCGTCGAAGTCGTCGGAGACGTCGTCGGTGTCGTCCTAGTCGTTGTCGGTTTCGTCTTTGTCGGTCTTAACAGGTTTTGCAAACGAAGTTGCGGGTGGGTGGGTGGGATGTTTGCGCGAGCAGTGGAGATGACGACTTCAAGTTCAGCAGAGTGGGTTCTCCTTTCTGAAAAGAGAATAAATAGACTCTATCCCCCCCCCAGACTTATCGGTTCCCCCTGGGATCGTATGATTTCATATATATATATATATATATATTCTGCACACTCGTCCATCCTAAATATGAAATCGTACCATCCCCGCCAGGCCGGGTTCCCCCCCGTGAGGTTCCCTTGAAAACAACATTTTGCGGTGACATTTTTTGTTCTAACATAGCACTTTTTCACGAATCCCTTGCAAACAATTGGACGAAGTGCACACGCGCGCGTCGTCGCGCGCGCATGCCGAAATCCTTCAAAAACCTTTGGTGCGGGAAGGATTTCGCAATCGAGTTGCCAAAACACATACAAAAACACAGGGTTTCGCAACACTGATTTGCTAAAAAAGCTTCCTCGCGAGCTCTTGCGAAATCTTAAGGAAACCATGGGTTTTTCAAGATTTTCACAAAATTCTACCAAACGGGCTTCGCGCGCGCTCATGTCGAAATCTGTCGAACGCCCTTGCGCGTGTGCCGTCGCGAGAATCCCCGGCAAAAAATGGGACGAAATGCAGACGCGCGCGTCGTCGCGCGCGTATGCCGGAAACCTTCCAAACCCATCGGTTTCGGAAGGATTTCAAAATCGTGTGTCCAAAGAACCTACAAAAACACAAGGTTTCGCAACACGGATTTTCAACAAAAGCGTGCGCGCGCGCTCTTGCGTCGTTGTCGTCGTCGTCGTCGTCGTCGTCGTCGCCTACGTCGTCGTCTGTCTTTCCTCGTGTTCGTCGTCGTCGTCCTCTTTGGCGTCGTGGTCGTTTCCGTCGTCGTTGTCGCCGTGGTCGTCCTTCCTCCTCCTCCCTCGTCGTCGTCGTCGTCCGTCGTCGGCGTCTCGTCGTCGTCCCTCCTATTTCGTCGCCGTCGTCGTCGTCGTCGTCGTCGTTGTCGTCGTCGTCGTCTTCCCTCCTCCCTCGTCGTTGTCGTCGTCGGCGTCGCCGTCCTTCCTCCTTCTTCGTCGTTCGCGTCGTCGCCGTCCTCCCTCCTCCCTCGTCGTTCGTCGTCGTCGCCGTCGTCGTCCTCCCTCCTTTTTCGTTGTCTTCGTTGGCGACGTCGTCGTCTTCGTCGTCGTCGTCGGCGTCGGCGTCGTTGTCGTCTTCGTCGTCGTCGACGTCGGCGTCGTCGTCGTCGCCGTCGTCGTCGTCGTCGTCGTCGTCGTCGTCGTCGTCGTCGTTGTCGTCGTCGTCGTCGACGTCGGCGTCGTCGTCGTCGCCGCCGTCGTCGTCGTCGTCGTCGTCGTCGTCGGCGTCGTTGACGTCGTCGTCGTCGTCGGTTTCGTCGTTATCGTCGTCGTCGGCGTCGTCATCGTCGTCGTCGTTGTCATCGTCGTCGTCGTCGTCGTTGTCGGCGTCGTCGAAGTCGTTGAAGACGTCGTCGGCGTCGTCGTAGTCGTTGTCGGCGGCGTCGTCATCGTCGTTGTCGCTGTCGTCGTCGGCGTCGCTGTTGTTGCCAATTGCCATGTGGTACCCACCGTCACGGTCTTAAGAGATTTTGCAAGCCAAGTTGCGGGTGGGTGGGTGGGATGTCTGCGCGAGCAGTGGAGTGGACAACTCACTGCGAACAGAAATATATTGCACCACGTAGATTGCACCACATAGACTGCACATCACGGGTTGCACAGCCTAGATTGCTAGAAGCACACTGTTAGTTTTTTCATTACCTAACAGCTTTTGCTGATAGGTTTCTAGTGGTGTCAAAAGAGAGCATCTGGACTCCACAGGGGGGGTCTGGGCGGGTGCCGGGGAGGAGGGCCGGGAACAGAGCCGGGCTCGTTTTAAGCCAACAGTCACACACTTCGTGCTCTTCGACCTCCCAGAACTCCACTCCCGGGCCACATTTTGAATAAACGGAGCCAACAGTCACACACTTCGTGCTCTTCGACCTCCCAGAACTCCATTCCCGGGCCGCATTTTGGATGCCCGGAGCCAACTGTAGGCCACTTCGTGCTCTTCGAGTTCCCAGAACTCCATTCCCGGGCCACATTTTGAATGCCCGGAGCCAACTGTAGGCCACTTCGTGCTCTTCGACTTCCCAGAACTCCATTCCCGGGCCACATTTTGAATGCCCGGAGCCAACTGTAGGCCACTTCGTGCTCTTCGAGTTCCCAGAACTCCATTCCCGGGCCACATTTTGAATGCCCGGAGCCAACTGTAGGCCACTTCGTGCTCTTCGAGTTCCCAGAACTCCATTCCCGGGCCACATTTTGAATGCCCGGAGCCAACTGTAGGCCACTTCGTGCTCTTCGAGTTCCCAGAACTCCATTCCCGGGCCACATTTTGATGCTGATGCAGAGGCTGAGAATGGTGATGCTGATGCTGAGGCTGAGGCTGAGGCAGGCAGGCTGAGGCTGATGAGGCTGAGGCAGGCTGAGGCTGAGGCCGAGGCTGAAGGCAGGCTGAGGCAGACGCTGAGGCAGGCTGAGGCTGAGGCAGGCTGAGGCTGAGGCTGAGGCTGAGGCAGGCTGAGGCTGAGGCTGAGGCAGGCTGAGGCTGAGGCTGAGGCTGAGGCTGAGCAGGCTGAGGCTGAGGCAGAGGCAGGCTGAGGCTGAGGCTGAGGCAGGCTGAGGCTGAGGCAGGCTGAGGCTGAGGCTGAGGCTGAGGCTGGGCATGCAGGCTGATGCTGAGGCAGGCTGAGGCACAGAGGCTGAGGCTGAAGGCAGACTGAGGCTGAGGCTGAAGCAGGCTGAGGCTGAGGCTGAGGCAGGCTGAGGCTGAGGCTGAGGCAGGCTGATGCTGAGGCAGGCTGAGGCTGAGGCAGGCTGAGGCTGAGGCAGACGCTGAGGCAGGCTGATGCTGAGGCAGGCTGAGGCTGAGGCTGAGGCAGGCTGAGGCTGAGGCAGGCTGAGGCTGAGGCCGAGGCTGAAGGCAGGCTGAGGCTGAGGCTGAAGCAGGCTGAGGCTGAGGCTGAGGCAGGCTGAGGCTGAGGCTGAAGCAGGCTGATACTGAGGCAGGCTGAGGCTGAGGCAGGCTGAGGCACAGAGGCTGAGGCTGAAGGCAGACTGAGGCTGAGGCTGAAGCAGGCTGAGGCTGAGGCTGAGGCAGGCTGAGGCTGAGGCTGAGGCAGGCTGATACTGAGGCCTGTTGAGGCTGTGACTGCGACTGCCGCTGCCACTGCGACTGTCATCGCGAATGCGACTGCGACTGCGAGAACAGCAGAACTCTACAACTGGATTCTCATCCGAATCTTAAGGGGAATTCTTCCATATATGCTTCTACACATCGCTGTTAGGTTGCTTTGCCGGGATAATGATGTGCATGCATTTTATGTGTGTATGTATATATGTATGTATGTATGTATGTATGTATGTATGTATGTATGCATGCATGCATGCATGCATGTATGTATGCATGTATGTATGTATGTATGTATGTATGTATGTATGTATGTATGTATGTATGTATGCATGTATATATGCATGTATATATGTATGTATGTATGTATGTATGTATGTATGTATGTATGTATGTATGTATGTATGTATGTATGTATGTATGCATGCATGTATGTATGCATGTATGTATGTATGCATGCATGCATGTATGCATGCATGTATGTATGTATGTATGTATGTATGTATGTATGTATGTATGTATGTATGTATGTATGTATGTATGTATGTATTCATATATATATATATATATATATATATCTACATGTAGATGTACAAAAGGAGCAGTTCAAGGGCAGGGTAGCCTTCGTCAGCAGGGCCAGCGTCTCGTCGCTGCGCGCCGCGGTGCAGAGGTTCAACTCCGGCGCGGAGGCTCGGCTCTGCGCCCGGGGCTGGCTGGCCGCCTACTCGGAGCGGCACCGGGCGTGGCACGTGCTGTTCCAGCCCGGGCGGCGAGCCGAGGCGCTGCGGCACCTCCAGAGGCAGGAAACACTGCACAGACGTGAGCTTTCGGGGCTCTTCGCGGATCTCTCGGATCGGCGCTGGGCCCCCTCGTAGGAGGCAGCTCCTTGGATGAGGTCGGGCCTGTCCCTCTACAGGCGAAAATTCCCAAATAGGAAAAAAAAATAGTCTGGGGACCATTTTTCGACTGCATCTGAGTATGTTTGGAGTATTTTCGGGGTACTTTGAATCCTTCGTTCAAAATCCCCTGTAGGGGACATGCCCGACCTAATCCTTGGAAGGTCTTTTTGCGAGAGCGACCGTGAGCTCCATCAGGTCCAGTGGAGGGGGGGCCCCAGCGCCGATATATCCAAGAAGCCAGGAAGTCCGCGAGGAGCTCCGAAAGTTGATGATTGCACAGTTCTTCATTCCTCGAATCTCGGCCTCGAGGGCTGCCCTGAGCCCGCCGACGCCAGCGAGCCGACGGGGACCAGCGAGTCCGAGGACTCCAGCGCGCAGTCTTCCCCGCGCGGCCGCGCGCAGCAGTCGCTGGCGCGGGTGGGGTCTCGGCTCTCGGTGGGCCGCAGGAACACGTGGCGGGGCTCCGCCCCGGTCCTGTTCAGCGACTTCATGAGCACCTTCTTTAAGCTGCTGTGGCCCAACCTGGGTCCCGCGGCGTCGCTCATCTTACTGGAGAAGGCCACGGAGGCCATGGACGCGGCCATGCAGGCCTTCCCCTCGTTCCGCGCGAAGGTGCACCACTCCGTCAACGCGGGCTCGGTGCCCCCCGAGATCCTGGCCGTGTACGGCTACAAGCGGAACGCGCAGGAGGATGGAGAGATCGAGATAAGCGGCTACATGCGCTGGAAGGCGCACATGGACGTAGAGCTGAGCATGGGGCCCATCAAGCTGATGATAGACCAGGTGACCCTGGAGGGGCCAGGCTGCCTCATCTCGAAGAAGGAAACCTTGCACAAACATAGACTTTCGGAGGTCCGCGCGGGTTCCTTGGATGTGCGCTGGACCCCCCTGGCGGCGCCTCCAGCGCGGCCCCTGGTGCGCTCCGCGCACCAGGGCGGGGTGTCTAGGATGCAACTCCTAGGAGGTTAAATTCAGCATTGGCGCTGGCATGTCCATGATCGAGAACTCGCCTAATTCGGAATAGTCCAAGTACATCTGGTGTAATCCTGCTGACTGAGGCTGAATCCAGCTTAGTCTTGTGCTGAAGCCGGGCTAATCCGGTTTAATGGCCCTTCAATCCGGCTTACTAGTTTTTAGCTATTCTTGCCAGCACCTTCCAGGAATTGCCTCCTCATTAAGGGGCTTCAGTGCTGATCCAAGAAGTCTGCGCGGAGCCCCAAAAGTTTAGGGGCGTGCTGTTTTCCCTTCTTCCGTCATATGCAGGCCGCTCTTGAACCAGTCGCCGGTGGTCGGCGGCTTCCAGATCTTCTATTGCGAGACCCCCAAGCTGGAGCTCAGGAGGGGCGAGAGCCCCTGCAAGGGGCTCTCTTTCTTCCCCTCCTTCTCCTCCTACACCTCAGCATAGCCAGGCCCAGTGACGGGCGGCGATGGGGCGGCGACGGCCCCAACATGCAAACACTGTCTGGGGATTGTTCTCATCCGCGCTTTTCTGAGGGAGTAAAGCTCGGAGGGGATTGACTGTGAAGCCGCGTTTCTTTTGTGGGCCGTTTCGCTCGGGATATTCTTTACGTTCTGAGGAAAAAAAGACGCACCCCTCACGCAAATGCGACGTCACGGTCCAAAACGCAAACCCTTGTCCAATCAGAAAGCCGTCAAAAACGAAATAGAATTCACGGATTTTGAACCCAAGTCTTAGAGCATTGCAGTTTCGCTTGAGACATCCACCAAGCATGGATTCTTAGAGAATTGCAGTTTCGCCTGAGTCATCCTCCCAACATCTAGCCCCGACGTGCAACACACACGCACACACACAATACACACATAACGCACACCACACAAAATACGCCACGCGAGACACAGAACACACACACACATCACCTACAGCACACAGAACACACATAACACACACGCGCACACACGCACACACACACACACATCACACACAATACAGCCAGTGCGATCAACACACAACGCACACACAACTCATCTAACACATAACACGCAGAACGCACATCAGTCACACATAACTCACATATCACACAACACACAACATCGCACACAGCACACACAACATACATGACACATACCTTACACACTGCACACACGCACACGCACACACATCCTGCACATGTGCTTGTATGAGCCAGGGCACGCACGTGTCACTTGTATATGTATCCAGAGGCCTTCGACTCATCCCTCCCTCCACCTTGCCTGAGTTGTAGGTCAGAGGTCTGGATGCCTGTGGGGATCTCTTGGGCGGCCTCTCGGATGCCACTTGGAGATTGTCTGTGGGGTGCCTTGGGGCGTCGTTGGGGCGTCTTGGGACCTGATTGGGGTCTCTTGGGGCCTCTTGGGGGCCTCTTAGTGCCTTTTGGGCGCACCTTGGGGGTTTGGGGAGATCTTGGGGCCATCTTGGGGCGGAGGGCTCAAAATGTCAGTTCGTGTTCCCCATCTTGGGCCCCCTTGGTGTCGTCCTGGGGGCCTCTTGCGCCCCTTCTCGGGGGCTCTTGGGCCGTTTTGGGGCGATCTTGGGCGCCTCGTGAACCGCCGTAGACGCTCTGAAGACCGAAGCGGCGGCAATGCGAAAACCGTGCAAACGCAGGGAATTTGATGATTTCGGCCTCTTCGGCCGCCTTCAGGGCCTCCCAGATGGCCCAAGAGGCGCCCAAGAGGGCTCCAGGACGGTCCACGGGACCCTCTGAAACCATGCTGGACATGCATGTCCCGAACAAACGAAGCGCTCTCGGCCTTTCGGAGAGGCACGCGGGGACCCCCCAAAAGCGCGCGAGAGCGAGAGTGCCAAAGAGCGAGCGCCCGAGAGCGCCCGGAACTCCAGGCTGTGGGCTCCTTGATGAGAGCCCCACATACAGAGGACTCGAAGGGACCTGAGGACACCTCGAACTCGTGCCTCAGGCACGTGCCTGCGATTTGCACAGGCACGCGCTGCTGCGGGCATGGCCGTTGGGTGCGCCAGGCGTTGAATCATCTCGCCTAGTAGCCCCATTGTTTTGTACAGGTGGCTCTGGCGCATCTGCGTTTCTGTCCACATGACTTGGTCCTGGGGGTGCCGTCGGTGCGGACCCCCCCGCCCTCCCCCCCCAGAAATGGGATCCCCGGCGTCCGTGGCTCCTGGACGCCCCCTGAGAGGGCCCCGCGAGCTTTCCAGGTCTTTGGAAGTCTCTGCCAAGCCGTGCAAACGGGTCGGCGGCGGCCCTAGGGGACCACCAAGACGGTCCAAGATAGCCTCCAGCGGCCCCGCACCCCCGCCAGACGCCCGAAGACGCTCAAGATATCACCCCCAAGAGGGTTTCGAAACGCAGAAAAGGTTGATTTTCCGTTGGTTTTTTGTTGTGCGATTTTGGGCTATTCGGTTAGTCGGTCTTTGGGCGTCCGAGAACGCCCGAGAGGCACCGAAAACCGCTCCAAGACGATCAAAAAAGGCTTCCCGACACTCCAAGAAAGCCCCAAGACGGCCCAAGAGGGCTCAGAAACTGCCCACAAAGGGCCCCGTGACGGCCCCAAATTGCCACAAGACGCCCTCCAGAAGCATTCAAACCGTGACCCGACACCACGGGTCGCAGCACGGTGACTCGAGGAACCTCCCAAAGGCCGCCAAATGGCACCAGGGACGTCTCCAGAGGCGCCCAAGGAGCCCCCAAAATGCTTTGGCGAGGTTCTCCAGAAGCTCGGCTCGGAGGAGCCTCCGCAAACAAGTCTGAGGAGGACGGGGAAGGGTTCGCGAAGCAATTAAGGCAAGAACGGGGAAGAGAAAGAGCGCATCGGAGGAAAGGAGAAGGAACAACAATATGTTAACGGTGATGGCGAAAACTGCAACCAAGATCGATCGCTGTTTTGATTGATCTACCTCTCTTTCATTCTGCTTGCATGTTAGACGTGAAGTACCCAGGTACATGGCGCGGAACGCCAAAGCAATTGTTAATGTGTATGTGTCTGTCTGTCTGTATGTATGCATGCATGTATGTATGTGTGTATGTGTGTATGTGTGTATATGTGTGTATGTGTGGATGTGTGTATGTATAATGTATGATGCATGTATGTGTGTGTGTGCGTATGTGCATGTATGTATGTATGTGTGTGTATGTATGTATGTATGTCTGTATGTCTGTCTGTCTGTCTGTATGTATGTCTGTACGTACGTACGTACGCGCGTATGTGTGTATGTATGCATGAGATATGTGCCTATGTACGTATGAAAGCATGCTTGCATGTATGCATGCACGTATATATGTAGGTATACATGTATACATGTATGTATGCACGTATGCATGCATGTATGTATGGATGTATGTCCGTATGCATGCATGCATGTATGTATGTATGTATGCATGTTTTCTTGTATGTATGTATGGATGCATGTATGTATGTATATATATATATATATGTGAATCTATGTATGCACGCATTAATGTGCGTATGTATTTATGCATGCATGCCTATGCGTGTTCACGTATGCATGCATCTATGCATGCATGCATGTAGGTCTGTGTGTATGCATGCATGTATGTTTGTATGCATGCCTGCATGCATTCATGCATGTATGTAAATATGTAAATATGTAATTATGTATGCATGGATGTACGTATGTACGTATGTATGTTTATACTGAACTGTGTATGTATGCATGTATGTATGTATGCATACATGCATGCATGTATGCATGCATCCACGTATGCACGCATGTATACATGTACGTACGTACGTACGTACGTACGTATGTATGTATGTATGTATGTATGTATGTATGTATGTATGTATGTATGTATGTATGTATGTATGTATGTGTGTGTATGTATGTATGTATGTATGTATGTATGTATGTATATATGCATGTATGTATGTATGTATGTATGTATGTATGTATGTATGTATTATGTATGTATATATGTATGTATGCTTGTATGCTTGTATGCATGCATGTATGTATTCATGTATTCATGTATTCATGTATATATGTATGTATGTATGCATGCATGCATGCATGTATGCATGTATGTATGTATGTATGTATGTATGTATGTATGTATCGATGTCTATATACAGACATACATGCACATTCGTCAGAGTGAGCGGGCCGAACGGTCATTCATTATCCCTGGGTGCAAGGCTGAAATGGGGATCCGTGGTGAGGATTATGCTTTTTGCGTTGTTGTTGCTGTTGCTGTTGCTGTTGCTGTTGTTGAATTTCTTGTTGTTGTTGTTGTTGTTGTTGTTGTTGTTGTTGTTGTTGTTGTTGTTGTTTGCTGTCGTCGTCCCCCCTGCGACCTGCCCGCGGCCCACCCGCGACCCAGCCCGCGACCCACCCGCGAATTAACCGCGACCCACCCCGTGACCCGCCCGCGACCCACCCCGCGACCCACCCCGCGACTCATCCCGCGACCCACCCGCGAGTCACCCGCGACCTACCCCGCGACGCATCCAGCGACCCAACCGCGACCCAGCCCGCGACCCACCCGCGACCCACCCCGCGACCCACCCGCGACCCACACGCGACCCATACGCGACCCACCCGCGACCCACCCGCGACCCGGCCCGCGACCCACCCGCGACCCATCCGCGACCCACCCGAGACCCACCCCGTGATCCACCCACATTGCTTGAACGAGAAAATCGGCACCAGCGGCGGGCTCAAAGTATAATTTGTAATATTAAGCGCCTGCGGCGGGCTTCTTCAGAGCCTCGCAGACTGACGACGTCCTCGCCGCCCCCTCACTCTTATCCGCAACTGCGGGGTGCTACGTATTCATATGATAATTCATGCTCGTATTCATATTCAGATTCATTCCTCCTATAATGTTGCACGCCAGGAGGGTGGGAAAAACCCTCCCACAAACCGGGACTCCGAGGATCTGTTGCCCACGTGGGCCGTCTGGACGCCCCTGCAGAAGGTCCCCTGGGCTTTCTGAAGCTCCTGGAAACCCCTGCTGGGCCTGAGGCAACGCCGCTCAAGCCGGTCAGGAGGGTGGCCGCCAGGTACCCCGAGGGCATTGACTTCCCATGGTTTTGCACGAGTAGAATCTATTCTTATCAGTGTGACAACTGATATGTCTCCAACTGGAGACTTGCTTGTCGCATTTATTTTTTCAGGGGAGGTACATCCTTGAGCTTGCTCAGGATTCCTCAAGCACTGCTCTGGCTTGGCACACAACAAATGGTTTTGCATGAGTTTGGGATTGCTCGGTTCTTGGGTCTTCTGGGCGTCCGAGACCGCCCGAGAGGTCCGAAATCGTCCCAAAACTAATCGAGAAGGGCGTCCAGGCAGTCTAAGAGAGCCCCGAGACGGGCCAACAGGGCCCCAAATTGGCCCGAAGAGAGTCCCATGACGGCCCAAGATGGCCCCAAGACGCCCCCCGAAGCATTCCAAATCGTGACCTCGTCGTTCAGGGAGACCGCGGTTGGAAGCAGGGTGCCCCGAGGAACCCCCCAGAGGCCCCCAGAAGGCGCCCAGGAGAATTGCAGAATGCCCCAAGAAGCTCGTAAAACCTTCGTGAGGCCCCAAAAGGCCTTCAAGGAGGAAACTCCACAAAATGAGCTGAGGAGGACGGGGAAGAATTGGCAGGGTATGGTGTGCATGAAGAAGCGGAAAAAGGAAACATGAGGGAATGATGCTATGCCGAGCTTCAAGGACCAAGGTGCATGGCGCGAAGCGCCCAGGCAGTCTCTGCCACATGTGTCGATAGAAGTTTCGACAACATGATATACACATATATGTATGTATATATCTATATATACATGTATATGAGTAGGTATACCGATATATCGATATATACACACATATACGTATTCAGGTGTGTATATGCATAGACATATTTAGACATACTCACAAACATACATCGGTATACATATATGTACATGTATACATATATACAGACATACATAGAGAGATAGAGAGAGAGAGAGAGAGAGAGACAGAGAGGGAGAGCGAGAGAGAGAGAGAGAGAGAAAGAGAGAGAGAGAGAGAGGAGAAACAAACAGATAGCAGGATACGCGTTGATAGCTGGGTGCTGGGAGGTTGAACGGCTTGGGCGGCATAACCAAGTGGTCAACAGTGGACGCAGGCTTCGCACTCCGCTTCCTTGCAATGCTTCTCTGAAGAATCGAGGCGTGAGGCGTGGGAGACATTTTGCAAGCCTGCTGGCAGTTCCGAGACGAGCCCGTGCCCCTTGGCAGATCTACTTGCGATCGGCTGCACTTGCTCTCGAGGTGGTGATCCTTTGCAGTCTATGCCTGTCTGCACGGCAAGGATCATTTGACCATGAGCATCTGTAACCGAGCCCTCGCATCGGAGGTAGCTTGGACGCGACCCCGGAGACGAGTTCGGCAGGCGGCAGACGCGTCACAGGGGACACGCCTCGGAGAGCAACTGCTCCTCGTCCCCCTTCCTCATCCTGCTCGTGCCTCACCTCCTTCCACTGCTCAGTCGTCGACGAGGATGACAGTGAGGCATAGTGCCGCCCTTGCCTTGGACCCCATGCTGTTTTTTGGGGTGGCGGTGTTGTCACTGGTCAGTCGATCCTGGCTTTCAATCTCTGCCTGCAAATGCTTGTGCTACCAGCTGCTCCTAGCAAAACATCCTCACCTTCTCCTGGCCCTCCTCGTACTCCCTTTCTTTCTCTCTTCCGTTTGGGACACATGGTACATTTCAGTGGGAAGGTCCGAATCAGGAGGGAACGTGGTACAGTTTTGTACAAAACCCTTGTGGCCAAGGGGGGTCGCGCGCTCTACAACCTGTCAAGTTCATTTCGGAACGAGGACCAGAATCTGTGCATCCAGAACCTTGGACTCTGAGGGCTCGCATTGGAACCAAAGAGCTGAGAACTGATAAGTGCTTTCTCGAAACCTCATCCTCGGAGCCTGGTGGTCCCCGCAACGAGGCTGGCTGATACATCATCCCAGTTCTTCTAACCCCTTCAACCCTTCTCACTATAGTAACTCCTCTAATTCTTCGATCTCTTCGACGTCGTCTGTCTGTTTCAACTCTTCTACCTTGTCAACTCATGTCCCCGTGGGGCAACCACGACACAACCAAGAGACAGCCCCGGGATCATCGCGGGACAATTTCGAAACAACCGCTGGGAAAACAAAGGGGACAACAGCACAACCGCACAACCGCACGAGATCGCCACGGGACAACCTCGGGACAACCACAGGACAGCCCAAGGACACTCCGTTACAAACACAAGGTAGTCGTGGGACAAACCTGGGAGCCGCGCGAAGGAGACGGGGGTGAAGCAATTTGATTGCCTAGCCTGGGCAGGATCTCTCTCGCCTTCTTCCTCGGGCAGCCCTGCCTCACCTGATGGGCCAATTTTACCACCACTACCATAGCTAGGACAGGGGAGAAGGGAGGATTGGGAGGGCCTCCTCCTCCTTCTCCTTCTCCTCCTCCTCCTCCTTCTCCTCCTCCTCCTCCTCCCTTTGGTAGTTGTGGTGGGAAATCGGCCCGTCATCACCCGCACGTGCGATAAGAACCGACACAGGCATCGACTCCCTGGCTGGGGACCTCCGTTTTTTCTCGGCCACTCCCCATCATCCGACCCAAAAAGCTGCTGCGACAGGGGTTCAAAGAGGGTACTGCCAATCATGCACGCTTTCAGAGCTCATCCCACCGCCCTTCCCCTGCCGGTCGCCCTTCTCCTCGTCCTCGTCTTCCTTACAGTCATCGTCGTCGTCGTCGTCGTCGTCGTTTTCGTCGTCGTCGATAACGTCGTTGCTGTCAACATCCTCATCGTCGCTGCTGTCATCGTTATCGTCACCATCCTCACCATCCTCCTCCTCCTCCTCATCATTATCATCATCATCGTCATCGTCATCGTCATCATCGTCATCATCCTGATCCTCATCCTCATTCTCATCATCATCATCATCACCATCACGACCATCATCATCATCATCATCATCATCATCATCATCATCACCACCATCACCATCATCACCATCATCGTCATCATCATCACCATCGTCACCAACATCTTCATGATCAGCATCATCATCAGCAGCATCAGCATCAGCATCAGCATCACCATCACCATCACCATCACCATCACCATCACCATCACCATCACCATCACCATCACCATCACCATCATATCATCATCACTGTCATGATCATCGTCAACATCATCGTCATCATCATCATAATCATCAACATCATCACCTCCGTCATCATATTATCACCACCATCATCAACATCACCATAATCATAACCATCATCATCATCGTCCTCGTCATCATCATCATCATCATCATCGTCATCGCCATCGTCATCACCCTCATAATCACCATCACTATCATCATTATCATCGTCATCGCCATTGTCGGCATCATCATCAGCACCATCACAACCATCACCATCATCATCCTCATCATCCTCACCGTCGTCATCATCATCGTCAACAACATCATCATCAGCATCATCATCATCATTATCATTATCATTATCAATGCCATCATTTTCATCATCATCGTCATCATCATCATCATCATCGTCATCGTCATCGTCATCGTCATCGTCATCGTCATCGTCATCGTCATCGTCATCGTCATCATCGTCATCGTCATCGTCATCATCATCATCATCATCATCAACAACAACATCATCATCGTCATCGGCATCGTCATCGTCATCGTCATCGCCATCCTTGCCGTCGTCCTCGTCGCTCTCCGTAGTGATCTCGGCCCGAGCCGTTTGGCTCAAAGCTGGGCCTCCGAGGCCTGGCACCCTGGGGCGAAGCCGGGCCCCCCTCCGGCGGAGGCCGAGCCTGCGGACGGCCAGCGGCGCCCTCCCAGGGGTTCGACGGTGCGATGGCCGGCCCGTCGGACGAGGAGGCGGAGGACGACGACATGCCGCCCCTCGTGGGCGAGGACGGCGGGGTGGCCGACGCCGCGGGGGGTGCCCTGGGCGGCGGCGGCGACGACCTGCCGCCCCTCGTGGGCGCGGGCAGCGAGGCGGCCGAGACCGCAGCCTCCGCTGCGGGCAGCGGCCGTGAGGAGCTGCCGCCCCTCGTCGGCGCGGTCGGCGAGGCCGCCGACGGGGCGGCGCCCGACGCGGAGGGGCCCCCGAGAGGCCCGGGCCGGGCGGAGGCCATCGTCACCTCTCGGCGACTGCAACGGGCGTGGTCGTGCTGGGGTGTTGATGGGTCTGTTTTGCACGACCACCACCACCATAAGTTGGAGGAGGAGGAGGAGGAGGAGGAGGAGGAGGAGGAGAGGAGGAGGAAGAAGAGCAGGAGGAGGAGGAGGAGGGAGGAGAGGAGGAGGAGGAGGAGGAGGAGGAGGAGGAGGAGGAGGAGGAGGAGGACCCCCTCCCTCTCCCACTTGAGGTGGTGGCGGTGGAAGACGAGCCCACCAGGTGTGGTTTGCGATCTGCGTCGTGGGGTCTCGAGGGGGCGTGGGGTGGGCATCGCTCTGCCCTCGTCGGGCCATCCTCGTCGGGGCGCGGCGGAGCGCGCCGCCGAGGTCCCCGCCCGCCCCCCCCCCTGAGGGTGCGGGTTGTGCAGACCACACGCCCTGCAGGCCACGCCCCGCGGAGTCGCCGGACCTCGCGGCTGCCCGAGGGCGTGAGCCAGGGCGAGGCCCGCAGGGCCACCGCGGCCCTGCAGGCGGCCGCGGCGCTGCAGGCAGCCATCGCCGGCCGGCCGGACGGCGAGGGCCCAGGACTGCCGCCTGGGCGACCCTCGAGCATCCCAGCGTCGCATCTTTTTGTTCGCCGAGGGGCGATGTTGCCTTTCGGAGTTGGATAGACCTCCTACCCTGACACGTCGATTAAGGAATTGGCCGTTTTCGGTTCGCGAGAGGGCGTCGTGGCCGTCATTTTTTTGGGTCCAGGTCCGTCGGTTTCGGTGCCAGGCCGTTTTCACTAAGGGGAGTTTTACTAAAGGGAGGTTTGTCCACCGCGGAGCCTTGGGCTGCGCCACAGAAATTTGTGCGCAGGCGTGCGCCTCCATCGGTGGTATTCCTGAGATCTGGGCGTCGCGATTGTTTCTCACCAGGCGTTTGCGCGCCGTGTTGGGCCCGGGGACCCTCGCGGATCGACGCGGCTCGGAAGATGCCTCAGGGAGAGGGGGTCAGGGCTTTGGTCTAGTTCTGTTCCCATGTTGCATTTTTGCTGTGGCGTCGGATCTCAGGGTCTCTCCATTGAGGGTCTGGAGTGGCCCCCTGCCCTTCCTGCGGCACCCGACGAGCTCCCAGGGGCAGCGACGATGTGGAAGCGGCAAAAGCATACTTTCCGACGTGCGCGCAGATCTCTTGGATCGGCGCTGGGCCCCCCCTCTCTACATCCTTGCTTGGCGCGCTCCGGCGTCGCTGGTGCAGCGGTGATGTGGCGCGATCAGGAGTCCGATGTTTCCCGTCCCGACGTCGCCGGTGCATCGGCGAAGAAATCGGCGCGGACCTCGGAACGTTTGTGCCTACGCTGCTGGTCTTCTTGTATCCTTGCCCCCCCTCCTCCCTTTTGCTGTTTTTTTCCAGACACGGGAGCCCAGGGAGGGAGCGTGTCGGATGCGCGTTGGGCCTCGACCCCCCGCCGGCCTGGCCCCTGGCCCTTCAGCCGGCCAGTGGCGCGGGTGGCACGGGCGGGTCTGCTGCGGAGCCGGTCTCGGCGGCGAGCGCCATCATGGGCCTGCTTGCGGAGACGAAGGAGCTGGAGCCCGAAAGAAAGGAGCTGGACGGTGTCACGAAACGGATGGTGGAGGCAATTTGCAGGGACGATTTCGAGGAGTGCGAGGATGCCATTATGCAGGGTGCGGACGTGCACGTGGACTGCAGCGGGGGCATGCGTGCGCTGCACATGTCGGCTTTGCGTGGAGAGATGTTCCTCACAGAACTGCTCATCGCGCACGGGGCCGATGTCAACGTGCGTGACCTCGCTGGCAATACGCCCCTACTGTACACGTGCCATTTCTACAGGCAGCATGGCAGGGGCACCCAGCTGGTATCACAGCTGCTCTATCACAAAGCTGATCCACACTTTCGATGTAAGGACGGAAAGATGGCAGGCAAGTCAGCGTATGATATAATGGAAAAGTGTTCCCGGGAACCGAACCGGGACGAGAACGCTCCACGCAACATGTGCGCTATGCTGCAGCTGGCGATGGATGGCAGTGAATCTGGGTACGAGGCCATCGCCAAAGTGTGGATGCAGCATAAGTCGGAGAATAAGAAGCTGTACACAGTATCTTCAAAGAGGGACAACTACGACTATGCGATGAAGAACATTAAGTGGGAGACGCCGGAGAACGCGAAAAACGCTCAAGCTAGCCAGCCTGTCAGACTTAACGCCGAGGCGGACTCGATATTGGAGGAGAAGTTCACCTACCTGAAAGACTACTCGTTCAACGACGAGGGTGACAAGGTGAAGGTGTACGTCACCTTCCCGGACGGAGCTGCTGGCGCCCTCGGCGACGAGGGAGCGCTCCGGGTCGACTTCGAGCTCGAGGCTCTGGACCTGAGGCTGCGAACGGCCGCGGAGAGCTTCAGGCTCAGAGTGGAGCCGCTTTATGGCACCATCGACGTGGAGCAGTGCAAGCACCGTGTGTCGGCGTCGTCGGGCAAGGTGACGTTGACTCTGGCGAAGCGTCACAAGAATCGCCGCTGGCCAACCATACAGAAGACGCGCTAGGACCGCGTGCCGCAGAGTCTCGCGCCGCGCCAGTGCGTGGCGACCGATCGCGCCAGTCGGACGTACTAGCAGTCCTCTCGACTCAGAGGGATAAGAGCATAAAGCTGCGTGATGTGTGTGTGTGTGTGTGTTTGTGTGTGTGTGTGCTTGTGTTTTCGCTTGGATGCCCCGTTCTGAATGTGGGTGTCAGGTAGGGCTCGTAAATCGGGCGCGACCCGGTCCTGAGCTCGGCTTTGGCAGTGTGCTCACCGTCGGAAAACAGGGCGGGGGGGGGCGTACTGGCTTACGCCGGCGGCGGGCGAGGGGGGGCAGTGAGCAGGAGAAAGCCCTCTCAGAAGGTTCGGAAGTCGCCCGGCCTTCTGAGAAGTTTTCTGAGCCTCCCCCAGAGACACCAAAAGCCTTTCAGAAGGCGCGAGGGCTTCTGAGAAGTCCCGCCGCCTTCTGAAAGGGCCTTCTCGGACGGGGCTAGGCGAGGATAAATCCCTTCCAGAGCGTTCCGGAACGCTCTCGGAGCGTCCCAGAACCCTCCGAGAAGGCCGCGGCGCCGGAGACTTCCCTCAGAGCTGCCAGATCTCAGAGATTCTCGATCTGTCCTCACCCGATTTTACCCTCGTCCTGGCTTCGTCTCAGCTTCTCCCTCGCACCTCCTCCTCCCCTGGCTCTTCGCCGACTGCGGGGGCGCTGGACGAGATTCGGTGCCCGAGGCCCCCGCACAGGATTCCCAGTGCTCCGCGCGTCCCTGCCGGCCCGTCCCCTGGCATCGCTCGGACGTGTGTATTTTTTGTTTTTTCTCGGCGAGGACCCTCGAGGAACATCCCGGATCATCGGGCGATCAAAAACACGCACGAAACCGAAGAATGCACCAGAAATGGGTGTCCGAGCAACGGCAAGACCCAGGAGCGACCGCTCGTCGGCGGCGAGCGAGGGGGGGAAGCGAGAAGGAGCAGGCCCTCTCAGGAGGCGGCGGGGCTCCTCAGAGGCCCCCGCGCTTTCCGAGAGGTCTTCGGGGGAGGCTCAGAGAGCTTCTCGGGAGGCCAGGAGACCTCCGAGCCTTCCGAGGAGGCCCGCCCCTTCTCGCTTCCTCCCGCGCTCGCCGCCAACCTGGGGCGAGCCGCTGTCTGACGGGCATCGGCAGAGCTTCACTGAGGCAGAGAGGGTCGAGATCGATGGGAGTAAAGGACTGACCATCCCAAGCAGACACTCGAGACATATGGCAGGCAGCTGCGCTAATCAGCGTGCGTTGTTTTTCTTTGGTGCAGTCGTTCGTATGTTCATATCAACCGGTTTCAGACAGTTTAGGCTGGTCTTCATCTCCTCAGTTTGGCGGGCCACTGTTCTTTCATAGCGGTGTGCGGTCGTAGCTAGGCCTGAGGTTTGGTTGGCTTGGTCTGCGCATCACGACTTGGCCCAGCGTCAGCGCAGCTCAGCGGGGCTCATCTTGGCTCCTGGCTGCGCGTCGAGTTCTGAGCATGTCTTAGCGTTGCTCAGCCTACCATCTTGGAATATCCGGGGCCGCCTTGGAAACTCTTAGGAAGCAGGCGCGCAGCACGGCGGCGCAGGATGGTAATCAGGTCCGCAAAAGCAGCGACTGGGGAGGGCTATCCCGCTCCCCGAAGGGGAAGGTGCGGTTGTTTCGGAAGAGCCGGCATCCCGAACCATGTGCGCCCCGAGGGCTGGTGGATCGCACCTTTGCCAGCCTTTCCATCCGGGAGCCCGTCCTCGCGTCCTCGCGCGTCGTGCGTCCCTCCCTCCCCTAGCGCGTCCTGTTTCCTCCAACTCATGTATCGCAGGCTTTGCGGGCGAATTACCACTTTCACAGCAAGGCGCGTGTAGTATGTCTTCGGGGCGCTCTGGCCCTCTACGCGCTTAGTCCCCTCCCGTGGACTCTTGCGCGCGGGCTCTGTCTGTCTGTTTGCCTGCCAGCCTGCCTGCCTGCCTGTCCGTCGGCCTGTCTCTCTGTCTGTCTGTCTGTCTGTCGGTCTGTCTGTCTGTCTCTCTGTCTGTCTGTCTGTCTGTCTGTCTGTCTGTCTGTCTGTCTGTCTGTCTGTCTGTCTGTCTGTCTGTCTGTCTGTCTCTATCCAGGAGTTCCATATCTCCGAAGTTTTGGTTTTGTTCGATGCTGGCCCCCTGAACCCCCGAGTCCTTCCCCAGTTTTTTTTGTCCGGGGTCCTTTTTTGTGGTCCTGTGGCTCAGAAGCGGCACCCTGGAGGCTGAAACAGGCGAAAGTCTTCCGCACTGTTCATTCAAGACGCCGGAGGCCTGGAGTCGGGGGGAAAACCGACCTCCAGACGCATCCTCAGTTTCGAGGTGAGTCCCGCTGTGGCGACGAGGAGCCCCCCAGAGGCCCTAAAAGGCGGAAGCTCGGAGGTGAATAGACCTCCTACCCTGACACGTCGATCGAGGAACTGGCCGTTTTCGGTTCGCGAGAGGGCGTCGCGGCCGTCGTTCTTGCGGGTCCAGGTCCGTCGGTTGCGGTCCCGGGCCCTTTTCACTGAGGGGAGGTTTACTAAAGGGAGGTTTGTCCACCGCCGAGAAGCACGTGACCCTGTTTCCGCTGTGGCGGCGAGAAGCCCCCCTTGTGGCGACGAGAAGCCCCCCAGAGGCCCTAAAAGGCCGAAGCACGTGACCCTGTTCAGCAGTTCCTCGATCCTCGAGCGCGACTCTTGGCGTCGACGGAGGCTCCCCGGGGAGCAGCCGCGAGAGGAGCGCGCAGCGCACTCGGGTCGCGCGCGAGAGGCCCTCCTCGCGCTCCGAAGTCCCTCCGCGGCCTGGTCGCGACGGTGCGCACACGGACGCGCGTGGGTGGGCAGCCTCGAGCCTCGAGCCTCGACCCTCTCCTCGAGCCTGGTGCCCCGAGCCTTGTGGAAGTCGATTAACGGAGAGGAAGCGTGCTGCCAAATAATCTCCAGGTGTCTAAGAAACGTTTCAAGCATGTTTAAAGCTGGCAAAACATATCTGAGACATGTTTAGAACATGTTTTACACATTTAAACACCTTTTAAATTCCATGGCAGGACCGTTCGAGTGTCCACTGCCATGGCATCCACAACCCGAGCCTCGAGCCTCGAGCGTCGCCTCTCGAGCCTCGGGCCTCGATCGCGGAGCCTCGCCCTCGAGCCTCGAGCCCCGGGCCTCGAGGCTCGGCCCCTCGGCTCGGAGCTCCTGCATAGTTTGAGAACGACTGTGCGCGGCGCTAGGCGAGAGCCACATTATGGAACCCACCCGCCCTCCATGTGTAAAGCGTAAAGCTGTTGTCAATGTTTTGAGCTTCAGGGTGATAAACGGTGAGGAAGTCTAAGGCGAAACGCCCGGCCCGCCCTTTCGACCAGCCTCGAGATGCGATAGGTAGAATGTATTCCTAAGACAGCGAATTGGGGAGGCGCACGAGGAGAAGGAGGAGGAGGAGGAGGAGGAGGAGGAGGAGGAGGATGAGGAGGATGAGGAGATGGAGATGGAGATGGAGGAGGTGGAGGTGGAGGAGGAGGAGGAGGAGGAGGATGGATGGAGATGAGGAGGAGGAGGAGGAGAGGAGGAGGAGGAGGAGGAGGAGGAGGAGGAGGAGGAGGAGGAGGAGGATATGAGGATGAGGATGAGGAGGAGGAGGAGGAGGAGGAGGAGGAGGAGGAGGAGGAGGAGGATTCTTTTACCTCCACGGCTACGTGCCCCCAGATGAACGGGACCAGGGCGAGGGAAGGAACTGCCCCCCCCTACCTCTTCGTCTGAGGAGGAGGGGGGAGGATCTCGAGGAGGTTTGGGACGCTGTGGTGCGTCTCTCCAGTGGGTCCTGAGGGTTCTCTGGGTGGTTTCAGGCCAGGTCCGCTTTCTTTGCCGGGACGTGGAACCCCCCAGGGATCCCGACCCGTTCCCCTTTGGGACGGCGTCCGAGCCTCCAGGAGGCCGAACATGTCCAAGAGCCAGCCGGCATGCTTGTTAGCTCTTGTGTTGGCTTGCTTGCTTGCTTTCTTGCTCGTCTCTTTGCTGTTTTGCGGTTGTGTTTTTTTTTTTAGGGGGGCACGTGCCCCCCTATTTGGTATGCGCTGAACAGGATCCGACTGTCCTCGATCCTCGTCGTCTGGCTCTCGGGTCCTGACTTCGCGCCTCGGGCGGCCGTTCGGGACGAGTCGGGCACCGCCGGGCCGTCCTCGGCGAGGCGCAGCTGCGGACAAGCATCCCGCGGCTGGAGAAGTTCTTGATGGCCACTGACACGTCGCAGAACACACGAATTTCAGCCCAACCCCCTCGCCTCGCGCTGGCCGCCTCGCGCTGGCTGCTGCATTGGGCCGGCGGCGGTCTGCTTCGGGCGCAGCGGCCGACCCATCTCGCCGGCGTGGCCGCGCGCCCTCGGACGGCACGCCTGCGGGCCTGCTCGGGCCCAGCTCCTCCTCTTCCCTCTGCTTGCTCCTCGCCCTTCTCCTCCTCGGTCTCCCTCTTTCGCAGGGGGTGTCTCCCCCCAGTTCAAGGTAAGAAACACGATGACGATGACTATGGCCAAGATGTTGCGGGATTTTGTCGACGCCGATCTCGGTCATGGTCCGTGCCTGCCGTCGCCGAGTCGCGAGGACGATCCACGAACTGTCGATGACCAAGATGAGCGATGACCGAAATCGGCACCGACGTTTGCGCGTTCATTCTTGGTCATTGTAATCGTAGTCGTTGTTTTCCCTCCAATCCTCGAGTTCCTCCCCACGTCTTGCCGTTCAGATAAAAAGGGGGTCTCGGGGGTACTCCCTCAGTGGGCTATTAGGGCGCACCCCTGTCGAGGATAGACGCCCCCCATGGTAAATCGCCGATTGGGCTCCAAATGTTTTTCAGTCAGAAGTCCAACAAAGTCGGGGGATTGGGATCGCCATGGCTACCGTTACTACTCCTCTTCCTTCCTCCTGTAGTGAATTTTGATTATTGCAACAGGGTGGGCACGTTGTGCCAGTCGTTGGCCAATTGTGAGATCCACGAATCGGAACACGTTTAATCCCATCGTCTCAGCGTGCTCATGACACGTTCGTCGCCTGGCATAAATCGGGTCGCAGCTCATCCTCCTCCTCCTCCTCCTCCTCTTTCTCTTCCTCTTCCTCTTCGTCTTCCTCTTCCTCTTCTTCTTCCTCTTTCTCTTCCTCCTCCTCCTCCTCCTTCTCCTCGTCCTCCTCCTTCTCCTCCTCCTCCTCCTCCTCCTCCTCCTCCTCTTCCTCCTCCTCCTCCTCCTCCTCTCTCCTCCTTCCTGTATTGTGCAGTTTTCGC